CGGAGCCTCGGAAGGAGAGGCATTTCAAGGGCCAGGTCGGCAATTTAGGGTTTAGGGTTTGGGGTTTGGGGTTTAGGGTTTAGGGTTGAGGGCTTAGGGTTTAGGGTTTAGGGGTTTGGGGCTTTAGGGTTTTAGGATCTTTGTTTTTTTTTGTTTGCGTGTTTTGGGTTGGGGCTTTAGGATTTTAGGATCTTTGTTTTTTGTTTTTTTGCGTGTTTTGGGTTGGGGCTTTAGGGTTTAAGGGTCTTCGTTTTTTTTGGTACGTGTTTCGGGTTAGGGCTTTAGGGTGTTAGGGTCTTCCTTTGTGTTTTTGTTGCTGCGTGTTCTGGGTTTGGGCTTTAGGGTTTCAGGGTTTAGGGTTAAGGGCCTCACCGGTCCCTCATCATCTATCAAGCCGGGGGTTCCTGCATGATCCGGGTGTAGGGTTTAGAGGAGGAATTAGGGAGTTTAAGGTTTAGGGCTTAGGCATGATAGTGAGAATTCACTTCTGTAGACCAGAAAAGGGCGCCTACTTCCTGGCAGTTTGAAAAACAGGTATTGTAACAGTAGGGTTTCAAGCAGAGCGAACGCCTAAGTCCAGACATATTCCCAAGCCCTATGGCCCTATGGGCCTTCACAGCTGGTGGTAAGAAAAACTTGAACACCCCACCCCCCCCGACTCTGTAAGAGTTCGATAATATGCAAAACACAGATGTACGAGGCCCTTATCTTGATGATAGACCCTAAACCCTAAACCCTAAACCACGGTTAGCGTATGGGGCAGTACCCGGTACCCTAAGAAAGAAGGCCCTCAGCTCCTCCTGGGGCACCACCAGGCCATCAAGGGAGAGTTTGTTTCTCTTCCAGGATTACCGTCGGCGTTGCAACTTCATGTGGTTCATTAAAACTAGAGTTGGGTTTAGGGTTCAGGATTTAGGGTTTAGGGTTTAGGGTTTAGGGTTTAGGTGTCCAGCAGCAGGTTGGGTTCCGATCCGGTTGCAGGCTCAGATGTTTTGGAAGGGGCTGACGGTTTAAGCTTGGTAATTAAATCTCGTCTACGCCTACATTGCACTAAGACGCCAGTCCATCACACGAAACTTGAACACTTTACCAACTCTGAACAACACATTCAATCTTGTGGTTGTCAACGTTGGGCGTTCGTAGTGAGCTAGGAGGAATGCGAACCCGGATGCCGGTTTTCGGGGAACACCTTGAGGGTTTAGGGCTTACGGTTTTAGGGTTAGTATCCCCTAAACCCTAAACCCTAAACCCTAAACCCTAAACCTATCCCAGTGGGACCTCTTTCACTTTTTGTGGCCTTAGGAATTCCGCATACATACAATTATCAACACCACAAAGGGAGCCGATATCCTCCTAGGTTACTGGGGATCCCAACCGAGTACTACGAAGCTAGCACAGAGGCTTGATAATCAAAGTCATAGTATGCCCTGATCGTCCCCATGGTACTACAGCAGAATATACATCAACATATTTTTATGTGGCTCCCGTTTCGAACCTCTAAACCCTAAACCCTAGAACCCCAAACCCTAAAACCTAA